CGTGCGAGTGTGTGAGTGTGAGTGCGTGTGCGTGAGTGTGTGAGTGTGAGTGTGAGCGTGTGCGGGAGTGTGAGTGTGAGTGTGTGAGTGTGTAAGTGAGAGAGCATGAGCGAGTGTGAGTGCGTGTGTGTGAGTGCGTGTGCGTGAGTGTGAGTGAGTGCGTGCGTGCGCGCGTGAGTGTGTGAGTGTGTAAGTGAGAGAGCATGAGCGAGTGTGCGAGAGTGTGAGTGTGAGTGCGTGAGTGTGTAAGTGAGAGAGCATGAGCGAGTGTGCGAGAGTGTGAGTGTGAGTGCGTGAGTGTGTAAGTGAGAGAGCATGAGCGAGTGTGCGAGAGTGTGAGTGTGAGTGCGTGAGTGTGTAAGTGAGAGAGCATGAGCGAGTGTGCGAGAGTGTGAGTGTGAGTGCGTGAGTGTGTAAGTGAGAGAGCATGAGCGAGTGTGCGAGAGTGTGAGTGTGAGTGCGTGAGTGTGTAAGTGAGAGAGCATGAGCGAGTGTGCGAGAGTGTGAGTGTGAGTGCGTGAGTGTGTAAGTGAGAGAGCATGAGCGAGTGTGCGAGAGTGTGAGTGTGAGTGCGTGAGTGTGTAAGTGAGAGAGCATGAGCGAGTGTGCGAGAGTGTGAGTGTGAGTGCGTGAGTGTGTAAGTGAGAGAGCATGAGCGAGTGTGCGAGAGTGTGAGTGTGAGTGCGTGAGTGTGTAAGTGAGAGAGCATGAGCGAGTGTGCGAGAGTGTGAGTGTGAGTGCGTGAGTGTGTAAGTGAGAGAGCATGAGCGAGTGTGCGAGAGTGTGAGTGTGAGTGCGTGAGTGTGTAAGTGAGAGAGCATGAGCGAGTGTGCGAGAGTGTGAGTGTGAGTGCGTGAGTGTGTAAGTGAGAGAGCATGAGCGAGTGTGCGAGAGTGTGAGTGTGAGTGCGTGAGTGTGTAAGTGAGAGAGCATGAGCGAGTGTGCGAGAGTGTGAGTGTGAGTGCGTGAGTGTGTAAGTGAGAGAGCATGAGCGAGTGTGCGAGAGTGTGAGTGTGAGTGCGTGAGTGTGTAAGTGAGAGAGCATGAGCGAGTGTGCGAGAGTGTGAGTGTGAGTGCGTGAGTGTGTAAGTGAGAGAGCATGAGCGAGTGTGCGAGAGTGTGAGTGTGAGCGTGTGCGTGAGTGTGTGGGTGTGAGTGGGTGCGTGCACGCGCGTGTGAGTGTGTGAGAGAGTGTGGGTGTGAGCGTGAGTGTGAGCGTGAGCGAGTGTGCGAGAATGAGTGTGAGTGCGTGTGTGTGTGTGTGTGTGTGAGTGGGTGCGTGCACGCGCGTGTGAGTGTGAGTGTGTGAGAGAGTGTGAGTGTGAGCGTGAGCGAGTGTGCGAGAGTGTGAGTGCGAGTGTGAGTGCGTGTGCGTGAGTGTGTGTGTGTGTGAGTGGGTGCGTGCGCGTGTGAGTGTGTGAGTGTGTGAGAGAGTGTGGGTGTGAGCGTGAGTGTGAGCGTGAGCGAGTGTGTTTCAAATATTGTCCTCTCCTAACAAACCATACATCAATGGAAAGCTATTTATTCAGCTTTCAGATGATGTACAAATCTCAAATTACCCTCATGACTAGTTTTGTGGTCCAGGGTCACAAATAGGCCCTGAGATAAATCAGCAACCGCGAGTATCATAGTTTATTCTGTGTCGTTTTAGATCACATACAGTAAAGTCAAATGCATATGCACTGACTGTTGTCGCTCTCTCTGTGCTTCTCAGGGTTCTTCATAACTACATGTTGTGGCGTATCGTGGCGGCGCTGAGCGAGCATCTCTCCACCGCGTTTCGCAGCACGATTAACGAGTTCTCGCGCGAGATCGACGGAGGCGAGCGTCAGCTGGATCTGGAGCGGCTGTGTCTCAATCAGGCCAACAAACACTTCGGCATGGCCCTCGGCGCGCTCTTCGTCCAGCAGCACTTCTCCTCCTCCAGCAGAGCCAAGGTGAGCAGCACTGAGCTCAGCTCACTACACTGGCTCACATCTTCCTCCAAAAACACCTCGAATCCGTCGGCCTACTCTTATACAGTAAGATTATACACGAACGTGGAGCAGCTCTGATCATATGTGTCCCTGCAGCACAAAAGCAAGATCTGTAACTTATGAATACAGACTGCAATTCTGTTGCTGGATTCACGAAGATAAGATTTCTTGAGATAAATTTCATCTTGTCAAAGACTCACTGATCAACTCGATGAAAAACAGATAAAAAATCATAATAAGCGCACACTTTTCAGTGCAACGTGTTTTTTAAATAGTTATTTTGTGCTGAATTCTGGCGAGAACTGTTGTAATTATAAATGTAAAAGTTATTTGAGTACCTGTTTGAGTTTGATTTGTAGAGCTGTTACTGAACTTCACACATAATAATAACTGATCATTGGTTATTATGATTCACAACCCTATTATTTGTTGCTAGTATTTTGCTGTAATGCGTTAGAATTTAAACAACCATTCCTTTTTTTTTTAGGTTTATTTTACACGTGTGGTGTTCCTACAAAGCTGCATATGATTTTCGTTATGCTATGCTGTTAATAAAATATTTATACGTACAAATTTTGGATTTTGTTTCTCAATTATCACATTGATTTACATTGTGCTAAATCACATTGTTTCATTGATTTAATCTCATGCACCTCAGTTTTTAAGTGAACATTGTCCACAAATAATGTAGTTTTTTTCCCCTCAGAAAGGTGCATAAGCTCAGATGAATTGAATATTTGGTGATAATACAGCATAAAGAGAGATTTCTGAGCAGTTTCTCAGATCACTGGGGTCTTTTTTTAGGAGCTTCAGCAACGTCAGTCTCCGCTTATATAATAGAGATATCGAGGCCTCATTTCTAATTTCTCTTTCCTATAGAAAAGTGCTACGCAGGAATACGAGATGTTGTTTTGCGTCTCACCTTCCTCTTTCCTTTCTAATGCAGTCGATCTGTTTCTCTTCCACGGCCCAGTGTTTGTTTACCTTTCATCTTGCTTCCTTCCTCCCCTGCTCTTCTCAGATAGATAGAATGAATGATGGATGGATCAAATCGCACTTCTTTTGAGGAAGACGTCGCTCCCAGATGGTTTGCTTTGCGGGGTGTATAGATTTGTGGAAATCCTCAGTCAAAATGTCACTTTTGTCAGACGAGTGCAGACTTTTTCCAGCTTGCCGTGGGTTTCATACTGTTTTTGAGCACATGAATCATCCGAACCTCTTTAAAGTTTCTATTAAAGGACTAAATCATCCACAGATGGCTTACGTCCTTTAGTGGAACTTTTGTTAAATATTCCTGTTGCTCTTTTACACACACACTGTCATTCAAAAGGTTTGGGGTTTTAGAAAGAAGTGTCTTCTGCTCACCAAGGCTGCATTTATTTGATTTTAAGTACACTAAAAATAGTGAAATATTATTACAATTTAAAATAGATGTTTTCTACGTTAATATCTGTTAAACTGTAATTTATTTCTGTGATGCAAAGCTGTATTTTCAGCATCATTACTCCAGTCTTCAGTGTCACATGATCTTCAGAAATCAGTATAATATGCTGATTTATTATATTTGAGGTCGTCTCGTGTAATTCTGGCAGCAGATGGCCAGCTTTTAAACGAAGGTTTCACTTGACTTGCTTTTCTAATTACAAGTGTGAATGATTTTTGTCACTGAAAAGTCTCCACTGCTTATTAAATTAACATGAAGTTTAAAAGATATTAAGCGGCCCTCATAGAAGCGGCACTGGTCTGATATAATATATGGGTCAGGGTTAATATAGTTCACTAAAACTAAAATTAAACCGTGAATAAGTTTTCATTACTTTAAAGGTCCCATATTGTCAAACCTGAAATTTCCCGGTGTTTTTCACGATAACTGAGGTCTAGGTGCTATTTAACTACCATATAAGTTTCAAAACAGTCAGTCCACAGTCAAATGCACACAGCCTGCATAAAGTAGCTGTGATTTTTCACGAACCGTTGTGACTTCCGTAAAAAGTTGAGGTCAGAACTACACAGTCACCGCCTTCAGTCACCCCCCCGAGCACCGCCCACCGTCCCGCTCTCCTTTAGCCACTCCCCCAGACAACATCACGGCCACGCCATTGCTGAGCAACAACAACAACACGGAAACATGTCGAAAAGTTTAACTTTAACCACGAAACCAGATCACCCGACCTGTAACGATACTCTCACTCAAAGGATGGACGATCTGACAGGATTGCTACTATGAGGTGATCACATCTAACGTGTATAATAAAGACAAACTGTGTCTATCTAGTCATGATGAAGATGTATACACATTTCAATTTCAGCAGGCAACTATTTTTACAGCTACATTATTGTTCCAGCCACAATTAATCACAACAATGTATATACAATTACAAATGATTATATATAAATCGTCAGTTTGTTGTTTTACACGCATGCACACAGACATTATTTCATACACGACCTAGTCGTGAGATGCAAGAAACATAGACATACGGCAAGAAATCTGTAGACGTGCCCATGACAACAAAAGACAATACTTTATTGAAGCTTTTCTGATAAGAAGTGTGCGCTGCAAACGGAACATTTTTGACGATCGTTTCTGTCCAGTCCGCTCGTTTTATCGCGTTTAAGTCCCATATTGTTAAAACTGAAATTTTTCAGTTTTAAAAATTGTTAAATTTTTTTCAGTTTTAAACTTTAACTTTCCGTACCCACTGTGTGTGTATATATATATATATATATATATATTCTTAAGGACATCAAGACTTAAAATAAAACTCCAGAAAGGTGTAAAATATGTGACCTTTAAATAAAATAAATGTTTATAACAAAAAAAAATACATAACAAAAAAAAACTTTATTTTATTTAATCTATAGTTGCCAAGGCATAATAAATTTTCTTTCTAAAGCATTTTAATCACACTAAAATGAAATAAACTAAAAACTAATAAATAAAAATGAATAAAAGCTATAGACATATTAAAAAAATGACAAAAATGCATAACAAAATTACTAAGCCTAACTAAAATTCAAGTGAAAACAGAAAATTAAAAATAAAATTAATTTCTAAAAACTATTAAAAGTATCAATAAACACTAAAATAACACTGGCACATGTCAAAGATATTGACATTAAATATATCATATGAGAAATTTTGCGTAATGTTTTATGTTATGATAAGGATATATTTAAATACTCACGTACAAAATTTGTTTATATGTTAAATAAACATGCGGTGATGCCTATGCACTGAATTAAATATTTAATAATAATAATTATAATATGTTTAATTTATATAGCACCTTTCCTGAGCTCAAGGACGCCTCACAAAGAGCAGTAATGCAACAATCAAACATTTAATTTCAATCAAATTAAACTGAAATTTACGTTTAAATAAAAGACACTTAATGTCATTTAGATATTTTCCTTTTTTTTTGGTTTTTGCACTTTATGATTCTAAGTTTTGAAGGAGGTTATTTTTGAACAAGATTGTTTATAATAGTCAGTTTTAGTTCCGTCATCCAGAGACCCAATCAGAAGTCACGGCTCCTTTGATTGACATCTAGTCTCCGCCCCCGTTCTCAGGTGCAGGAGCTGGTGGAGGACATTAAACACTCGTTAGATCAGAGACTGCAGGAGCTCGACTGGATGGATGAAGAAACCAGAGACGCTGCCCGAGCGAAGGTGAGCAAAACTCGGTTGTGTTTCAGTCGGACTTTAAAGAGTTAACAAGCAGTGTTGGGGAAAGTTACTTTTCAAAGTAACGCATTACAATATTGCGTTACTCCCTTAAAAAGTAACTAATTACGTTACTTAGTTACTTTTTAATGCATTATGTTACTTTTGCGTTACTTTTCAAATCTGGGTTGGGCTTGCTTGTTTGTTTTTCATATAAAAAGTGATATTTCTGGTAAATGTAAAAGCCCTTTCACAACAAAAAGTGAAATGAATGAGCCTCAGGCTGAAGGAAAAGTAAATTCACGTCTGTACAGCAGAACGCAGGAGAAGAACGTTCAACACTTCGGCAATAAAAAAAAATTAAGCACGAATGTTAGTTTATCTAAAGTGATTTTTGCTTATTAGTATGATTGAATTTGATAATTGAAGCTCAGCTGCAAAGACATTGCTTAATAAAATAGGATTAAATGCATAAAGGATATTTGTGTTATTTACCATTTAACTATTGCAGATTTGCGTCATATTCTGAGTTTTTTTATTCATTTGGAAGAACACTGAATCTGTTTTTGTGCAAGTGAGTAAATGCATGTTCATATATAGTCTAGAACTAACTATATTTCTATTAACAAGAGAGCTGTCTGTCAATACATGGGAAACAAAGTAACTGGCATTACTTATTTGAAAGAGTAACTCAGATATTCTCTTGTTAATTAAAAAGTAATGTGTTACTTTACTAGTTACTTGAAAAAAGTAATCTGATTACGTAACTCGCGTTACCACAACACTGTTAACACGTTTATATAAAATAGAGGCAATAGTTGAGAGTTTTCCTCATTATTCTGAATCTTTCTCTCAGCTGCAGCACATGATGGTTATGACCGGTTATCCTGACTTTCTGTTAAAACCTGAACTTATCGACGAGGAGTACGGGGTAAGACGCTTCTGAGCGATCACATGATCCCATTCCAGATGATATCTTGAGTTCAAATGCTTTTATTTCTCCTCGACAGTTCGATGTGAACGAGAAAACCTACTTCAAGAACATCCTGAACAGCATCAAGTACAACATTAAACTCTCCGTCAAAAAGATCCATAAAGAGGTGGACAAGACGACGTGAGTTTGACAGAACCGCACAGGGAGTGATGTCACTGAGTCAGATGCATCGCAGCGTACGATTAGAGGAACTTCACTGCTGATTTCAGAGAGAAAACGCACACACATTGTGGTTTAAATGGATATAAATTGGCAGAAAGTGTTGAAATAAATACATCTCTAATAACATGCCACTAGATTTGAAAAGTTTTTTTCTTGTAATCATCACAGATGTTTTTGTGATTGATCGTAAAGGAGTCTCTGATGTGTCTGGAAACAGGCATTGAGTTAGTGCGTGAGTGTGTGTGTGAGAGAGAGAGAGAGCGTGTGAGTGAGTGTGTGTGTGTGTGTGAGAGAGAGTGTGTGAGTGTGTGTGTGTGCGTATGTGAGAGTGTGTGTGTGTGTGTCAATGTGTGTGTGAGTGTGAGAGAGAGTGTGTGTGTGTGTGTGTGTGTGTGAGTGTGTGTGTGTGTGTGTGTGTGTGTGTGTGTGTGTGAGTGATATCATTTGGACAGACTGTGTCTGAAACGGCAGTCGAACCAAAGAAAAATGAGCGTCTGTTAAAACCTCCAGACCTCTGGAGCCAAACACACACACACACACACACACTCTCTCACAGAGACACACACACACACTGACAGACACACTCATGCACACACACTCACAGAGACACACAGACACACACACTTTTACGTGCTTTTCACGCCAAGATCTGAATTCATGCAATGTTTAATACATTTTAAATCAATTGTTAATGATTTTTTATTCTTTACTTTTTTTTTCTCATTCATCTGTTGATTATTTTTATTCTTTTTTAAGCACTTTGTGTATGAAATGTGCTGTAAACTTGCCTTGCTACTGATTTGTGTCCATTAAAATACAATAGTTTGCAATTAAAATAACAACCGCTGTGTGTGTGTGTGTGTGTGTTTCACAGGTGGCTTCTTCCACCACAGGCTTTAAATGCGTATTACCTGCCAAACAAAAACCAGATGGGTGAGTATCATAAACACACACCTGAATATTGAGATAATAAATTGGAAAGTTTGGCATCATTTCTTTTAAAAGAAATTAATACTTTTTATTCATCAAGGACGCATTCAATTGATCAGTGATATTAAGGACATTTATAATGTTACAGTAGATTTCTATTTAAAATAAATGCTGTTCTTTTGAACTTTCTATTCATCTGTGAATCCTGAAAAATAATGGTTTCCACAAAAATATTGTGCAGCACAACTGTTATCAACATTGATAATAATCAGAATCAGAATCAGAATGAGCTTTATTGCCAGGTATGTTTACACAAACGAGGAATTTGTTTTCGTGACAGAAGCTTCCACAGTGTAACAGAATGACAGTGACGGAACAAAAAACACTGAAAATAAAAAATAGAAAAATAGAACAAGTAAATAAGGAATAAAAATATACAAATCGACAATTGTAGTACTGGTATAGAACAATAGACAGTTGTATGTACAGGTATATTATGTGCAAATTGAAATGTAGACTGAGTATGCGTGTTAGATAAATAAGTGTATGAGTGAATAAATAGTGTGTGTTCCACAGTTATTGTCAAGTGTTCATGAGATGGATGGCCTGAGGGAAGAAACTGTTCCTGTGTCTGGTCGTTCTGGTGCTCAGAGCTCTGTAGCGTCGACCAGATGGCAACAGTTCAAAGAGGGAGTGTGCTGGATGTGAGGGGTCCATAGTGAGGGGTCCTTTTGCTCACTCTGCATGAGTACAGTTCTTGGAGAGAAGGGAGGGTTGTACCAATGATTCGCTCAGCAGTCCGGACTACCCTCTGTAGTCTTCTG